TGACGGATGAAAATTATAAGGAAATAAGAAGGTATGGTGAAATCTGAATACAGCATGAACATTTTAGTGATGGTAATAACAACAATAATCATAAATAAGCAGAAGTAAATCATAGCAGATATTCAAAATGTCCGTTATTATGTAAGCAATTCCAGACTCTTTGTTCACTGCTCGATTTATTTCTCTAGGGTAGGAAAGCTATATCAAAGAACTAACCCCTAAGCTGATCAGACTATGTAGCCCGTTGAACTGTCAAATTGCTTGCAAATCCGTCCTCACTATAAACTGTATTTTTTCAAAGATGAAAGACAGAGTCCCGTTGCTTGGCTTAACCACATTTTCATGAATTACAACTGTATGAATAAGAAGACAGCACTTACACATCTCTCCAAATTTTGACTTTTCACAACCATAAATCCAATCTGGTTCTTTGGTCTATTCCACCCTTTCCCTCCAAAATTTCCATTCAAGTTTGAATAATTATTTTTTCTCATAATAAAATAATAATTGTTTAATTCAGTTGTCCATCTCATCAACAATATAGGTTGTTCAACTGCCTCTGGCCTGTTGACAAGTTCTTGTTTAACATATCTTGATAAATCACACCATCTGAAGTGATTTGGCAACATAGCACACACTTTACAAAAATTTTCGTTCCATCCATCGACACTGACACCACCAACCTTCTGTCATCTGTCAAATGTTTCATCCTACTTATGATCCTGTGCCACACCATCTTGTGCAGCATCAGGTGGTTCACGATGTAATTTAGACTTTCGTTCTAAATATTTTTAATCCGTTTTAATCTGTTCCTGACATACAGCTGTGTGTAGTTTATATTAATTTTAACGAATGTACCATGTGTCCAGCTGTCACCAGGTTACTATATGTTTCCCTCAACTTAAACGTTAATAACATTTAGCAAAAATCTCACATACTATTGTAAGTCAATTTAAAATCATTTTGCACAATAGTTGCTATTTCTTCTCAATGTTATTGCAGCTCCTGATGAAGATGGCAAAGTTCACTGAAAGCTAGAGGCGAATAAAGTATAAAGAGTACTCTTTGCTTGAATTTTGTCGAAGTACCCAACGAAAGGCGGAAGCTTTATTTGTCACCTAACTGGTCTAGACGACAATGACCACGTCTCAAGTTATATACATATATATATACAGGGTGACTTTGAAGTTGAGTCATTAATTTTCAGATAATGATTGTAGAAGGAAGATAAACCAAAATATGTGTGTAAAAATAAAAAAAAAATTAAAAAAAATTTGTTACCTTGTTTTATAAAGTATCCTCCCGACAAGTATTTCAGTGCGGACCTGTATTTGATCGTGAGGTCCCCTGTGAGGTCTTAAGTCACCTGATTCACGAGCCCGTTGTACTACATTAACAAAGGCACGAGGGGTTGGTTGCACTCGATTGGGAAACCGAAACGCATAAACATGTGCCATTTTTTATTTCGTTTGAGCCACGCAACAGACACTATTCACACGCGACTGACACTAACTGTATGTATAACTGAACTGAATAAAATAAACATCGTTCCAAATTCTTTCGCTTTTTTGTTTCCGATGCGATGAACCGATAAGGTGGATTATATCCGTTGTTGCCAAACACGAGTACATGATATTATTGAGACAGGGCGGTACTCAAACTTCCAAAGGGCTATAACTTTGTTACTTTAATTTTACCAGAAAAATGGTAAAGGAAAAAAACATTTCTTTTGATCAGATCTACTCACTGTTAAAATAAATGACTCAACTTCGAAGTCACCCTGTATATATATATATATATATATATATATATATATATATATATTTGAAATCAGAATTAAGAACTGTATGCATCTGCGGAAAAAACATTATAGCGTCCATAAGAAAAAAATAAAGTTGATGCTGGATGACAAGAGGCAAAATGTCAGATTGGAATTCGAATTATTAATGTGCAATTTTTTTCGAGATCTCACTACAATTAAAGTCAGGAAAAATATAAAAGGATTTTGAAAAAATTCGGGTCTTCCGGCTCTTTCCGGAAGTACTTTGAATACGTACCTTTGCCACCATTTAAACGACTTCGTATCTCTTTTCCGAGATCTCAATGGTAAAGGTCGAATTTGAAACACCCCATATTTTACAATTATACAGTACTGCTAAGCAGTTCCAAAGATTAATCCATTCTACTCGAAATTTTCAAAAACTACTTTTAGGTACAAAATTTTTCTTGAATTACTTTGCTCATTGAAAAATAAAGTGAGGAGAGAGAGGGGCACTGTATGGTAATTGGTGCATAAGGTTTGTGGAGCAGCCTCTAAGGGAAGTGCTTCACTCAAAAACGCTCCAAACCTTCAGATAAATTAGTCTTCAAAAATATGGTAAAAAATATAGGGTACTGAGCACTAACTATTTTTTTAGACCAACCAAATATCGTGTAGTCTATCTTATTGTCCATTTACGTCCATGCACATTTCCAACTTTGGTTTGCTAGAACGTATCATTATTCTTAACTCTTTGCAAAACTTATTAATACAAAATAATATATAATGTTACTTTGGATGCAAAAGTGACAGAAGTATATTTACTTGACTAATCACCTTCAATATGTCAGGCGATCTATCCTTCTTTTGATATTGCAATGTATTTTTGTGAAATAATGTATCGTCATTGAGGTTAGCGAAAATAATCTCTTAACTCCCTTTTTGTGTTTTGATGTCGTAGTAGTTTTTCGAATACCTTAAGGAAGAAATGTTCAAAAACATTTAAAGATATCCAGATCGTTCTAATCCTAGGGTTGTGACTGAATGCAAAATGCACGATACATACGAACTACATCTTCGTGGATGACGACACTTTGTATGCAAACATTCAAAATGCCAGACGAAGGAAACTGGAAGTAGATTATTCTCTGAAGAAAGATCCAGATGAGGGGTATCACTACCTTTCTATCTAGTAATCAGAGAAAATCAAGTTACACAAGCATCATTCGCTATCAATTGGTGTTCGGTAAAAGCTTAGATAATGAACTAAATTTCCTTTGGAATCAAAACATTACATCTTACCATATCTTATGTTATCACAGCTTAAGGAAAATACCGTGGAAAATACAAAGTCTCGTCTACCAAAGATACTGCAATTCAGTTTTGTTTACCTTTTAAATCAAATAAGTAGCGTCATTCAGGTTGAATTCTTGTGTAAACCTAAGGTATTTTACAATACAATCACATTTTATGACTGTGAAAAACGCGTCAATCATTCATATTAAAACATATATCGTAATCTAACCACGTCATAATGTAAATGACTAAGGATGTAGTAAATCCAATTGTAGGTATATAAGACAGAAATTTTAGGAAGCAGTCATTCAACCACTGATAATCAAAATACCACATAAGTGATAAGGTATATTTTGTGTTGGTGAGAGTAGTACGGTGTCAATTTCCTGGATATTGTGAGTTTTACCCCAAGTATTAGTTACATGGCTATGAAAACTGAAACGAAGGAACTGAGTAGCTTCCTGGATGTTCCTGAATTCGTGTATCTTGGTGTTGATGGACTCATTGATATAGTGTTTCAGTGAAAAACCAAGTAAAGTACATAATTTGAACACCCGAAGAAATGCTTTCCTATTTTCGTCATGCAGGAATCTGTCAGAAGCGTTTGGAAAAGAAAATGTGTTCTAATTGTCATTTTCCCACCTGAATGGACTGTTTAGTTAAAAGTGTATGAAAATTATCAAGGAATGCACGGCTTAAGCTGCAAACTGTAGGTGTAGTGTATGAGCTTCGGAAACGACTTTCAAGAAGGAGCGTTTCAGTAAAATGTAGTATCTTATAGCATAAAGTTAGGAGTGCTATATTGATTGTTTCGTTTGAATCGTGCATTGCTAGAAGACTGAGCAAATCTATGGCTGGTTCAGTTTGAAGGAGACGTTTTTGATCAACATCAAGATATCCACAAGCGAACACAACCCTACATGGAAGCTGCACCAATTCCTTTTTCTGAAGACCTGGCAATGAAAAAACTACAGGAATGGAGGTTTAAGAGTGTTTTAAATTAAAATATTTTGTAAAAGTAGGCAGATTTCTTAAACATTGTACAATACTGCTATGTATAAAACTAAAGATTACTGTACTCCAAATTGCTTTATTGCATTTGAGAATAGATTTGTACCCGTTTAATAAAAGTTCAATGATGAGAAAGGTCAGTTTTATTTTATCAAAGTTTGAAGCACTGTGAAAGCTATTCAATACACGATCGTCGTCCTAAGTCTGTTTGAAACGATATGATACGGCTCCCGTTCTATTTTCATATTGTTCCTTTTACATAGAACGACCTGTACGCTGCAGTTTTGCTGACGACAGCACTCTACATGCAGGAATTTAGAGTGACAAGCAGAACTCTGAGCTCAAAAAAAGAAGACTTGCAGCGAGTTAGTCTCGGACGAGAGACCTGGAGGTTATCACTGCTTGGGAACGCAGAAATCTTGTACAGTTTAATGCTTCCAAAAGACAGCACTGTACCTTGACAAACAAGAAGCGTCTTAGCGCTCATCCAATTCCCATCCATGGCCCAGCTCTACCAAAGAGACGTTCCAGATCACCGAGGATTTGTTCTGGAACGACGACGTTTCGTCTATAGTGGCAGCTGCTAGGACAAAGCTATGCTGTTTGCTTAGTGCTAAGAAGTACATACTTTTTTCCACATGACTTCTGTAGTATATTAAGTACGCCCCTGGTTCCCCGAAAATTGCGCATGTACGATGAGTACTCTCACCGGGATACGTTTAACACACAGTATGTCGGGGTTCCGGATTTGTAACAGTTATCGGTGATATATAATAAACCATTAGTATACTTCCGGGTATTATTGATACCAACTAAGACATTACATGGCGACGAGGGTTATTAAAGAACTCGCCGGGTAAGGTGAAGTGTGTGTAAACTCCCCGTTTGTGTTGAAACCTCCAGTTGTTGGTGAACCAATCTGTGCACAAGAAAGATGGCAGTTGCAGCAGCGGGTCCCGTGCTCACATTCAATCCCAAGGAGAACGAGTGGGAAGTTTTCTTCAAAAGGTTAGAGCAGTATTTTATAGTACACGGGGTCACTGAAGAAGCTGACAAGAGAGCTCATTTGCTGTATAGTTTGTCTGAGGAGGCGTATATTTTATTAGAAAATTTATGTATGCCGCAAAAGCCGGAAGAAACCCCATACCAAGACATAGTTCAGTTATTGTCTAACTACTATGGTAAAACTGCTGTTGTATGGGTCGAAAGGCAGAAGTTTTATAGTGCATCCAAATCAGGAAATGAGACGGCACTAGAATGGAGTGTACGACTTAAAGGTTTAGCTCGCTATTGCAATTTTGGTCAGCAGCTTGAGTCCAAGCTAACGGACATTTTTGTTACGCAGTTCAATCCTGGGAAGGTGAGAACTGAATTATTCAGCCTAAACGAGAACACCACCTTAAATAACGCTGTTGAAAAGGCCAAAATTATCGAAGCAACGCTAGTAATAAGAGACCCAGTTGGTGAAGTTAAAAGCGAGGTCTTAGAATCCGATGTTTTTCGAATTACACAAAATAATTCAAATGTTGGTGCCACTGGCGATCAACATCAAGATCCTCAACGGTATCATAGAGGGACAGCAGTACCTGCAGCGCAGCGGAGCCAAGGAGGCACGCGCAGGAGTGGGGGCAACAGCTCAAACATGGCGCTGCCACAGCTACAGCCGTTCACATCGTCTGGTCGCTCTCCGGGCTGTTTCCGCTGCGGGAGGAACCACAACAGTAATGTATGCCCCTATAAGGAATATATTTGTAACTCTTGTCACGGTAGGGGTCATCTCAGTGTGGTGTGTAAAAAGAAAAAACAATCCTCACCTAAGCACGTTAATTATGTTTTTCCTAATAATGATATTGCTGAGGATTATACAGACGTTTTTTCATCCCCAGTTCTAAGTATTTCTAGCTTAGGAAGCAACAATGATGTGCCACTATATATCGATATTTTAGTTGAGAATGTCATGTTGAAATTTGAACTTGACAGTGGATCAGCTGTTAGTGTTTTGCCACTTCATGTTTACAAAACATATTTTGGTGCTCACGTCATGAAAAAAACAAATGTTTCCTTGATTAATTTTTCTGGCAATAAGATCATCCCACATGGCACAATCAACTTAAATGTTAAATTTAATTTCAAAGATAGCATCCTACGCTTTTTTGTTGTTGATGGTAACAATCCATTGCTCCTAGGTCGAGATTTTATTAGGAATTATAATATGGGATTTAGAGAAATTCATTATTTGAACAACGATGCTGTTGATGCTCTATGTAATGAGTTTCCTGGCGTTTTTGCAACCAATTTGGGAAGGTTCAACAAGTGTAAGATCTCCATAAATATTAAACTTGATGCAAGTCCCATTTTCCATAAACCTAGACCGTTACCATTTGCAATTAAAGGTAAAGTGGAGGAGGAATTAGATAAATTAGTCTCTAATGGTATAATATCTCCAGTGGAGTTTTCAGAATGGGGTACCCCAATAGTACCAATTTTGAAGGAAGATGGAGGAATAAGAATTTGTTGTGATTATAAGGTAACTATTAATTCAGCTATTCTAGTGGACAAATTTCCCTTGCCTAGAATTGACGATTTATTCACAAAACTGAAAAATGGAAAGCAATTTTCCAAAATTGATCTCTCATCGGCTTACAATCAAATAGAGCTCGAGGACTCTTCAAAAAAATTTACGACTATTTCGACTCACAAAGGTTTATTCGAATTCAATAGATTGCCGTTTGGAATAAACTGCGCTCCAGCACAATTTCAAAGAATTATGGAACAGCTGTTCAATAAAATGCCCCGTGTATGTGTTTTTCTTGATGATATTTTAGTTACAGGTATCGATAAAGAAGATCATATTAGAAATTTGAAAAGGGTTTTACTTTGTCTTTCCGAATGTGGTCTCACTGTTAGAAAAGAAAAGTGTGTGTTTTTGGCTGATTCCATTTCATATTTAGGGTTTGTTATAGACGAGACAGGCCTACATAAAAGTTTAGAAAGAGTTAAGGCAATACGCGACATTTCTCCACCAAAAAATGTCACTCAACTTAAGTCTTTTTTAGGCAGTATCACTTATTATAATCGTTTCATCAGAAATCTCCCAGATATACTTCACCCTTTATATAATCTTTTGAAAAAAGATGTAAGTTGGTCATGGGATAAAACATGTCAGGATTCATTTGAGTATATTAAACTTGCATTATGTTCTGACGATGTGTTGGTGCATTATAATCCTGACCTACCAGTTACTTTGACTATTGATAGCTCGGACTATGGAGTGGGAGCAATTTTATCTCATGTTTTTGAAAATGATGTCGAAAAGCCAATTTGTTATGCGTCAAGAACTCTCTCGAAAAACGAATTGGCATACTCTATTTTGGATAAAGAAGCTACCGCGATTGTTTGGAGTATTAAACGATTTTACCAATATTTGTGGGGTAGAAAATTTACCTTGGTCACAGATAATAAGGCACTCATGTCAATTTTTGAACCTAAAACGGGTGTTCCAGTGATGGCAGCAAATAGACTGCAGAGATATGCACATTTTCTGAGTGGCTTCAATTTCGATATCAAGCATGTGTCATCCATTCAAAATGTAGCTGACTTCTTAAGCAGAATGCCGATTGAAGATGACATGTCTGTGCAACTGATCGACTTCCCCATTCATTTAAATTATCTCACTAATTCCGATTCTAGTATACCAGTCGATGTTAACAAGGTCAGAGAACTTACATCCTCAGATTCAGTACTTTCTGAGGTACTCAATTTTGTTAAAAAGGGGTGGCCTGCAAGTCATAAAAGTAATGAATTGAAACCTTATTTCAGTAGGAAAAATGAAATCAATGTTGAAGACGATGTCCTGCTTTGGGGACATCGAGTTATCATACCATTTCAGTTACGAGAGGTGATATTGAAGGAGTTGCATGCTACCCATTTGGGAATTGTTAAAATGAAGTATCTTGCGAGATCTTACTTTTGGTGGCCGTCCTTGAATGATGATATTGAAAGTGTTAGTAAGCAGTGCAACATATGTCAACGCTTGCAATCATCGCCGGCCAAGGCACCGTTACAATGTTGGCAAATACCCGAGGGCATTTGGTCGCGGATACATATAGATTTTTTTGAACCGAAGAAAAACAATTTCTTTTTGATTGTCGTTGATGCCTTATCCAAATGGCTTGAAGTATTTCCGATGGCATCTGTTACCACTAACATGACTATTACAAAGCTGCGAGAACTTTTTTCTAGATTTGGATTGCCTAAGACTATTGCAAGTGATAATGGTCCCCAGTTAGTGTCAGAAGAATTTAAACAATTTGCAAATGTTAATGGTATTAAACTAATAACTATTCCGCCTTATGAACCTCATTGTAATGGTGCAGCTGAGAATAGCGTAAAAACTGTTAAAAATTTTTTGAAAAAGGTTAGTGATCAAAAGAACTGTAATTTACTATTAGCTCAATTCCTTATGACATATAGGAATACTGTTCACTGTTCTACTGGTTATTCTCCTGCTAAAGTATTTTTAGGTCGTTCGTTGAGAACTCGATTTGACATGCTTAGACCAAGCTCAGTCCAAGACAATGAAAAAGTTGAACTTGAAAATGTTTACCAAAACATACAACGTTCTCAACGAAGAAACGTAAAATACTTCAGAGGAAATAGGAAAGTATGTTTTAATATTGACCAAATTGTGTTGGTTAAAGATTATCGCGATAAACAAGTAACTTGGTGTAAAGGACAAGTTGTTAAAATTTTAGGGAAAAACGTTTACGTTGTTCGACCACTAGATTCAAATTTCCTTTGGAAAAGACATACTAATCAGATCAGAGAACTAAATGATGATTATTCGTTGGTCTACCCACCCTGCGTGGAGCTACCGCACACTGTAAACGTTTTTTCCAATAGTGATGGCGCCAGCAATACTTCTGCCGGTAGTTCGGTTGATGATGTGTTTGTGGATGCCGGAATCGCGGATAGTGAACGCGTGGATGTCAGTGACTCGGATTCTAGCTCCATTGGTGAACAGGCTGAACTTACACGACCCATACGTATCCGTAAGGTACCGGATAGGCTCCAATACTAACCATTCATTAATTGTTTCTTTTTTTTATTGTTACCCATCTGATCACTGTTAACAATTTTCGGGGGAGATGAATGTAGTATATTAAGTACGCCCCTGGTTCCCCGAAAATTGCGCATGTACGATGAGTACTCTCACCGGGATACGTTTAACACACAGTATGTCGGGGTTCCGGATTTGTAACAGTTATCGGTGATATATAATAAACCATTAGTATACTTCCGGGTATTATTGATACCAACTAAGACATTACAACTTCCTCACTCTGAACAAGACCTAGCCTCTAGTACTGCTCACATGGGCCGTCGGCGATCTATCTTTCTTCTACCGCTACGCCAACAATGCGTTTAGTGGTAATAGAAATCACGCAAGGAAGTATCGCCAAAGCTTTACGAATCAAAAAACAAAATCTTCCATTGGAAGCTCTGCGGATAGACCCTTTAAGGCGGCTCCGACGCAGTGAGTTTCAAGCCATTTACAAGGGTTCAGCTGCTTCAAAACTGACACTCCATTTTTCAATATTTTTGAATGAAATTCATACAGTATGCACAGGGTGCTATGGGAGCACTTTTTGAAATTTTGTTTTTGCACAAGTTTTATGATGGGTTGAAGTGCGTACTCTTTCTGTTCAACTTTTTAAAAAGAACCTAGTGAAAAAAATGAAAAAGTGGCTCTAGAGCACCCTGTGGGGTTTTGTTTTCAGCACTCTGTGAAAATTTCATCTAAAAATATCAAAAAATAAAGCGTCAATTTCGAAGCGCGCAAACCTCTACAAATCGTATTTTGGACGAACTTTGTCTACTGTTTCATGCTGCCCAAGCTTTGCGGCGCAATGTACGGACTAAGAAAGGACGTATTCAGATAATTTGGTGGCCCTATTTCATGTAATATCGCGTAGATAAGTCGTTCTGCAAATAGGTACTCATAATTGCGATCGCTGATACTCCTCGATTTTAAAGCCGTTTTACTTCCCACGTCATTGGCGAGGAAGTAATGTAATCGCGAAACACTTCTAAAATGAGATGTTATGTTTTTTAAGTCATATGACATCTACATCACGAAAAACTGTATCACTCATCAACTTGGAAATTGCCACTCGGATGTTTATGAAATTTTCACACGGAGTTACTAGTATGCCAAAGCTTTGTAGTTTTAGTCCAGTGGATACTTAAAAAGTGGGGGTTGGGGGAAGGTGATTCTAAATGTTGCATCTTTGATATCAGTGAAACACGTTCTATTTTTAAGAAGCTTCTGATCCCAGTGATTACAGGAAATTTAAGTAACGAAAATCCGACGAATAATGTGCTCACGATTTGAAAAAATCGGTGCCTGCTCTATAGGTTTGACACCAAGAGCCAACAGATCTATCTGCAACAGTAGGGAAGAATGAATTCGGATATCAGTCCAGTCAAGTATAAGGGAATTTAGCGTGGAACGCCGTTACGTTCAATTTGTGTTCTGCAGTTTGTGATATTTTTCTGGATATAAGCATGACATAATTGCCTAAGGTGCTATCAGAGCGTTTTACAAAATTTTGTCTTTGCGCAAGAATTATGGTGGGTTGAAATGCTTACTATTTGTGCTCAACTTCTTGATATTTTAAGAAGATCCTAGTGAATAAAATCGAAAAAGTGGATCGTTAGCACCCTGTGGACTTTGTTTTTAGCACGTTGCAAGAGTTTCATTTGGAAATAATAAAAAATGAAACGTAAGCTGTGAAGTGCAAATCGGTTTTTGGGCGAAATTCGTCTACTGTTTCGTCCTGCCAGTCCAAGCGACGCGACGGTGCGTTCCGACAAAGAAAAAATGTATTCAAATAATTTGATATCTTTCCTAAAATAAATTCAAGAAATCAAATTACAATTCGTTTATTCATGTCAGTAAATACAATTATGTTTACAAGGGTCATGTGGTACATGGTAACAATTGAATGAGAGTCATAAAAATATCTTATGCCATCAAAATAAGAGGAAACAGTTATGTAGCTTTTGCAAAGCAATAAATAGGTAAGGTAGGCTTATACCTGGATTAAGTACATTTCTTGTCTCCTGTAATAGGTAGATGGAGGCGATGCTGCCAGAAATGGATGTGTGCAATCAATAAACAAACCACAAGACTGAACTGCGGTGTCCAATGATTTTTGTATTGCCTTTTTTATTGCGTTACTAGAAAACTCTGTTGGGTATATGATGGAGTTTACTAGAACTTTACAGCTTCTTGTCTGCCTTCTTCTACAAACTTCACCAAATCGAGACGCTGTCAACCTTATCCTCCGATGAAGGCGCGACAAAGTACACTCCTGTGATTGGGTGACTTGTTCGGTCTGCAAAATCTCGTCGTCACTTTTTTAAGTTTCTCTAAAAATGTTCGCTTAGCAACCTCCAAATCAATGCAGTTAATGTCAGGTTTTTGATTGAATTCGCCATAAAACTATTCATTTTCTTTGCAATTACTATCCGAATTGTTAGTTATTTTTATATCAGCTTTTTTTGTCTGAATTTCTTTTCAAGATTCTTGCGTTTGAGTCTTTGTTCCATCTTAGCGATAAGCGAGGTTGGACTAAGCTTAGAACGCAAATGTATTTAGACCACATATACAGGCCGCTGGGTATTGTGGCTCAGTACAGCTGCAGCACATTTACCATGGTATGACCCCTTCTTGCAATAATTTATTCGCTTACCCCAATCTATTTTGCGATTATAGAGTTGAACTGCTCCACACTATTGTTGACCTCATCATGAATTAAACCACTGCATTCGTAATTAAAATGGTCGCATATGACCCTTTATTGTCCATTATCAGGCTTGATAAAAAAAGGCACTCAAGAACAATGGCACCAACAACAATTCAACAACACAATATCGACGAACAGTAACAAGGGGAGAAAAATACTAAATGATCACTTGCTGAGTACCAAAATAAGAAACGATTTACATTCTAGATCGCTAATCGAAATCCGACCCTGTTGTTATGAAAATTTACCTTGGTATGCACCCGCAGTCATCCTTTCCTCTTTTAAAGTATCGCCGACGACCGTCTAGGCCCAGCCCACCCTCGCGTCCTTTTCAACTCCCCGTTACCACAGCAGATCGTGCTCGTGATTGTAGGAGCCCCGTTAACTTATTTGATACGCCACTGATATGGCGCCCATACGCGCTTGTAATATGTCAACAGCATCAGACACGTTCAAGTGAAACCCATTATTTAATTATTATCACACTAATAACATTATTATCTCAAGTACACGTATAAAGTAGATTACTATTCAATTACACAGTTATTTTGGTGTAGTCGCAGAATAGTATCTCATAGATCGGTGCGTACAACATTATTGGAAACTAACCTAAATAATAAATTTCCAGATAAGACACATTCGATCAAGGAAGATTTGTAGGCATGTTTTTACTTTTAAAAACGGGTTACGAAAAAAATTACTTCCTGTCTAAAAGTCCAGGATGATACATCTGTACTGAGTTATTGATTGTTCATATACTTAAAATAAGAAAATTGACGCAGCATATAAAGAGAATATGATCATGCGGAGAAAAGTATATAACAACAGGAAGGAAAATAATGGGTAAAATCCGCAAAAAGGAGGAAAGTGGATTCGAGCAGAAAATAGGATAGGTAACCCGAGCGATACGTATTTCTGCTGGTTGGCTTCATCAGGCCCGAAATGAATGCACATATGAAACTACAAAAGTATATACACATGCCCAGACATCCGGATACGGGTGTAACCTGAGGAAACGAAGTTGGGGGGGAAAAAACGACACACGAAGTCCACAACAAGAGCCAACCTACACATTGTAGTATAAAATGTCAATGTCAAAACCTTCGGCCTCCTGTCAAAGGGTTCATCTCACTCATTATTCCATGACCACCATTTTGTGCAATCATCAAGTGGCTTAACGATGGAACGCTTTCATGTTCTAAAAAATTTTTAATCTGCTTTTAACTTGTTCTTGTCACACAATTGTGTGTATTTTATATAATTTTGACCATTGTACCATCTATCCAGCTTTCACCATGTTACTGGGCGTTTCCCTCATCCTGAACGTAAACAACAATTAGCAAATCCTCACATACTACTGTAAGTTAAGTCAATTTAAATTCATTTTACACTATTGTTGCTACTGTTATCATTGTAATTGCAGCTCCTGATGATGATGGCAAAGTCCATTGAAAGCTAGAGAGAATTAAAAAAAGTATAAAGAGTCCTCTTTGCTTAAATTTTGTCGAAGTACCCAACAAAAGGCGGAAGCTTTAATTTTTCACCTAACTGGTCTAGACGACAATGACCACGTCTCAAGTTATATATATATATATATATATATCTTATTAGTGGCATAGTGGCTGGAATCTATAATAAATGAAAGGTTATTAACTATCCTGAAAAACTGAATGTAGATTGAACCGATGGCAAGACAGATTCACTTGAGAATCGGCTGGTTGGTTGGCGATCGGTTTTTAATTATCCACGCTGACGCAAGATGCCTACCATGTTATTTATTTATCCATGTTATTTATCCATGTCGTTGTATGATGGTGTGATTGCGCCTCTCCGTGCTTCGTGCCGCCTTTCTTGTTTCGCAGCATCTCCAAAGTGCGGCGTGAAGAAAGGAGCTGCTCGTAGCCGCGGTAACGCGGCATCTCTTGGCATCATAGCTTGGCATGCCGACACGTCCAGCCTTCGAGCCCTGGGGGCCCTTCGCAACGCGCACCACAGGTGTTGCTGGATACGGTACAATGTTGTCATGTTTTTTATATGCCCAGGAATATTCTATAACGCCCTCGTCCAGCTATCGTTCTGGCTACCAGCGAGAGACAACCTCAAACATCAGCTAGAAGATTCGACAGGTGGACAGAAGTGGGATCAAGCAGGCAACCAGCAATACGCGGCCATGTATGGAGTGTGGCCGCATTTCTGTATCGTTCGCGTAAGCCATCGCGAGTATTTGACACATCTATAGATGAATTTGAGGTCATCTAGACTATACTATAACTATCTAAAACTGTAATGACTCATCGATGTTCACGTGAACGTCACTTAACTACCAGTAGTCGGCTGTTCATAGGCGGGGTATGAATGTTTAACATGGGTGAACTAGATTTGTCACATGCTTAATAAAGAATGGTTTGAAACATATTGTAAGTCAAAAATTTGGGAATTACCTTTATTCATCGTCGCTCCCACTTACATCTGACAGTAATAAGCTGTCGCTATCGCTTTCCTCGTTGAAATTGACTATAACTGGCTCTATGATGGTGTCGATGTGGTGGTCAAGCTGCCACATTTTTGTTTCTTCCTTCACAACATGACGGATAGCATTCTGTCAAGCTTCGGGCGTTACTAGCTGTATGGAAGTCTCAAGTAAAACCTTAACGTCTGGTAATTTGAAGGTTGTGTTATGGCGCGCAATATAACCCTTCACTTGAGCCCAGATGAGCTCTGTTGGGTTCAGTTCACAGTGGTAAGGCGGTAACCGCAGCACAGTGACACCACATTGACGGGCCATCTCATCAGTCACGTAACTAATGTTCGCAAGTTTGTGCTGTTTAATTTTTTCATACAATTCCGCTTTCACACATGAATCGTGAAACGGGATTCCTTTTTCGCGCAACCATTGCTGCATGTCACTTTTTCGAGATCCCATAGTCGGTACACGTTCGGCTCGACGACTATGGTAGGAAGCATTATCCATGACGATCACAGAGTTGGGCTCAGCTCGCTGGAGCACCCCTTGAAACCAGCTCTCGAAGCAGCTGGCATTCATTTCGTCATGGTAATCACCTCCTTTCTTAGAGACGAAAATCAAGTCACACTCTTCTAAAAAGCCACTATCGCTACCAATATGAGTTACGATCAATCTTTGACCTTTCCCTGACGGTCCACGAAGACCTGTTGACAAACCTTCAATGCTTGCTTGTCGGTTACTCACTACGTTTTTGTCTATCCAGGTTTTTTTAACTGTGTGAGCTGCATTTACCCATGTCTCGTCCAAATAATAGATTTTTCTGCTTTTTCGCCTATATTCAATCATTTCGCGTAGGTATTTTCGACGCCAGGCGACTATTTCAGGTCTCTCTATCAATACTGACTTCCGATTACGCGTTTCGTAACGAAAATTAATTTCGTGCAGGGATTTCCTCATTACCTCGACGCTCATTTGGGGTATAATTTTATTTTCCTTGATCGCCGCATGTACAGCCTTGAGGGTTGGTATCTCATTCCTAAAGAAGAATGAATGTACGGTTCGCCTTAACGCCATTTTGCTATAGTCATCCAATTTAACGGCCTTTCGTCCCTTCAAATTAAACTTTGGATCAGTAGTAGCTCCAGTTTTCTTCTTTTCATGCACCACCCTGCGAATGGTCCACTCTGGAACGCCTGTCATACTTTCACAACGCGCGAGTGCATCTCCCTGCGACATAGTTCTGTTCAGATAATTGAACACGTTGAGCACGATTTCTTTCGCGTCCCTCTTCAGTGCTTTACGAAGCCGTCTACTTGTTCCCTGGCTTTCAGTACTTCCACTCTCCATGGTTAAGTATAACCAAAACAGTAACCACAGAAACCACAACAATAACAATCACACAACAATTCTTATAAAAACACACAATATGCGATCGCTCAACGAAACACGAGGCGCGTCTTTGATTTCATTGGTTCTACCGGCGGAGAACAATCAGCCATTATTTCCATCTCTGTCTGTGCTGTTGACTACCGCAAAGCCACAGAAACGACATATGTTGTACGCTATACGGCTGTACTGGAAGGAAGCCGGGATCGAGCTCTGATCACGTGTTGATCACGCGTATGAGTCATTACAGTTTTAAATAGTTGTAGTATAGTACCATGAGAGTTCACGACTCGGACTGGAAAACTCTTAAATGGTCCTCGACTAGTCGATAGGGGAATAAATACTTAGTTTTTAAACAGTAAAACGGTGTTTTCGTAATAATACCGTTATAAATACATTATGCGACAAGAAAACTGCGGATACGGTGGATTTGATTTGAAATTTTTCAGGGGGGAGGTAGTATCGGCGATTGAAAATTAAAGAGCGGGAAGGGGTAGTCTGCAAACTGAAAAACACATTCGAAATTTTTTAACCTGAAATATTTCAATGATATGCGGCTTCCGGATTATTGAATTACGTATATAAGAAAAATTTTCCAAAATTATAACGCTCTGTAATTATACTAAGTGACATATAAATCCGAACACCCAGTTTAAATGGTTTTATTTTAATAAAATTTTGTATAAGTACTTAATGAAGCGTAATAAGTAAATGACAAATGATTGCACTGCTTTAAAGCCCTTTGACCTTTAATAATGTGTGGATGCACCCTGATGTGCTACGCATTCTCCAACGCGCCTAGGCATGCTTCTGATCAGGTGGTCAATGTCCTCTTGTGGTATCTCATTCCAGGCAACCGCCAACTCCTCTCGAAGTGCTTCTACAGTCTGAGGAGGACGTTGCAAACTGAGCAATCTCCTACCCATCATATCCCACACGTGCTCAATTGGGGATAATTCGGGAGATCTTGGTGGCCATGGTAACAATGTGACATCATTATGTTGAAAGAAGTCTATTGTGACTCTTGCAACATGTGGTCGGGCATTATCTTGTTGGAAAGTTGGATCTGCCAGGGTGTCAAGATAGGGTAAAAGATGGGGTTCTAGAACTCCGTGGATATAACGCTGCGCGTTCATGTTACCTCTGATGAAGATTAAAGGTGACCTGGAACCATAAGCTATAGCACCCCAAACCATAACTCCAACTGTGTGATGAACATGTCTTTCAACAAAAAACTGTGGATTCCTCCTTTCACCACGTCGCCTTCTAACCCTGGCACGACCATCGTGCATGCCTAAACAAAATCGAGACTCGTCACTAAAGACAATACTGTTCCATTCCTGATCCCAGAGTGACCGTTGTCTGCACCACTCAAGGCGATTACGTCGGTGTTCTCGAGTTAAAGGGAGGACCCAGTGTGGCCGGTATGAAATCAAGCCAAAACTTCTCATTCGTCGGTAAACACTTCGCATGCCAATAGGTCTTCCGTGTTCTGCAAACCATTCATTTGCAATGGACTTGGTAGTGGAGAAACGGTCCCTTAAGGCCAATAATCTTAGGCGGCGATCTTCACGGTCTCTTGTTCTACGGCGGCGTCCAGTACCCCTTGCTCTTTGCGTACGGCCTTCTCGAAGCCATGCCTGACAACACCTAACCACAGTGTCTACACTTCTTTGCACTCTAACTGCAATTGCCCGAAAAGAAAGTCCAGCTTCCCGAAGTCCCACTATACGGCCCCTATCAAACTCACTAAGTTGACGAAATCGTACAGGTCTCCGTACTCTAGGCATCGTAACCGATCGTAAAGGATGTCAAGATCCAAAATCCGCCAACTTTGATTCTTTACTGCGGCTGAAATATTCATTTTTAGAGCGTTAGTGAATTAAAAAAAAACTAGTATAAAAACCGGAATGTCCAACTGATAAGGCTGAAAATTTTTTCACTTGTTATTTGCAGTAAGATAAATAAATACATTCACCAACTTTTATTAAAATAAAACCATTTAAACTGGGTGTTCGGATTTATATGTCACTTAGTATATATATATATATTGACGATATGTGTTCGTGCCAGATCAAATCCTCAGTGATCTGGACTTCGACCAGCCAAAATGAACCGGTCTTTGATAGAACTCGACCATCTGTCGAAACCGGATGAGCGTTAGAACGCTTTCGGCTTGTCAAGGTGCAGTACTGTGTAGCATACTGTAAGCACTAAACTGTTCAAGATTGATGCGTCACCAAGCGGCGATAACCTTCAGATCCCTCGTCAGAAAGGAAGTCACTGATGGTCTTTTTCGACCTATCACTCCTAGTTCCTACATGAAGAGTGCTGTCATCAGCAAAGTTATGGAGAGAATTGGCCGTACGAGTACATGAAATGAGGTCGTTGATGTGTAAAAGGAACAGTCGGAGCTAAGACCGGTCTCTAGAGAACGCCCCTGTTGGCATTGTGGAACGCCGACATGTCCAGCCTTCGAGCACTGGAGTCCTTAGCAGCATATGTGTTGCTGGATGTGGCCAAATATTGTCGTGATTATATTTTGACAAACCTTAAAAATTATTCGCGAATGTTAAATGGTCGATGTCGTATGCGAGATATCTGAAATATCGCACGAAACTTATAAAAAGCCTTCTTGAATTTCGTTATCGATATTTTTGATTCGACAAAATCTCGTAAAGCTAAGGGCATTCTACAACGAACGGTACGTGCGACATTTTTTCTCCGTTCAACAAAATACGTTTATCTTTGTTATTGACAACCCCGTTCCAATGCCTGTTTTAATTAATGAAATGATTAAATACATGACAAAAGTGACAGCACAGTGACAAACGATGAAAAAAATAACAAAAGTAAAATGTTAGCGTCGCTTGCACGAATACGTTCGAGAGCCCCTCTGGACAAAGCTTCATTTAAAGGGACACTTATGCTTACAGTGGCTGTTTTCACCCGCTCTATAAATAAAATCTGTCTCTGTGGTAAAATGTCCAAACTTGTCACCAAGACTAGTGACAGGAGGTTAATCTGCGTAAGGGATACACGTATTTGTATGAAGAAAATCCTGTCGCCAAGGAGGGTGTGGCTCTCGGAAATCTAGTGCACGTAAAACATGACATAGAGAATCTGCTACGGGGTTTACAGTAACAGATAGAGATGCTACAGGGTTGTCCAATAGAGACGCAGGAAAGTCAACGTCAATTTGACATAGACGCCATCTTTGTTTTCTGTCACCGACATGTCATTTTGTTAGTTGATCGCTATGGAGTCGTATTCGATTGAAGACCGCATTAAAGTTATTCAAGAGCACTATAAAAATGGTGCAAAAAAAACACGTTTCGCGCGCTTCGTGAACATTTCGGTCGCAACAACCGCCCAAACGAAACAACTAT